ATGGAAAATACCTGTCAGATACTTTCTGACAAAAGTTGTAACGGGTGAGCAAAAGTCAAACTTAGTGAAACAGTGTATTGAACTTTTAAGCACAACTGGCGTTGAAGTTGTTTCTCTGACGTTTGACGGTTGTCCTGCTAATCTTACAATGGCAAAAAAACTAGGATGTTCTTTTGACATCAATAATATAAAGACTTTTTTAAGCCATCCCGTTTCACAAAAACCATTTTACGTTTTGTTGGATGCTTGCCACATGCTTAAACTAGTAAGAAATGCATTCGAATCAAGCGCAACATTAAGAGACAATTTTGGTAGATTAATAAAGTGGTTGTACCTGGTCCATCTTAACCATCTACAGGAAAAAGAACATTTGTATCTTGCAAATAAGTTAAGACGTCGCCATATTTATTTCTACAACCAAAAAATGAAAGTTAAGCTGGCGACACAACTGATGAGCAGTAGTGTAGCTAGAGCTTTAATTTTTTGTTCCAAAACTAACCAACCGGGGTTCACCGATGTTCAAGGCACAGTAGATTTTTTGCAAAATTTTAATGACTTGTTTGATGTTTTAAATTCACGAAATATTAATAAGTTACGCTATAAAAAACCCATAAATTTCAAAAACAAAGATAAGGTATTCATTTTTTTAAACAAAATGGAAGCATATATAAAAAAAACTTAACGATCTTATCTTCCTCTCCTATAAAATTCAACGTCCTAGGCGTAAATCGAAATTCTTATTCCTAAGAAGCTTTAAATCAATTAACCTGGAGCGTTTGAGAGATGATGTAAATAATATTGACTGGTCCCCTGTTCTAAATCCCGAAGATGTTAATCATAAGGTTTATGCTTTTAATCACCTCATTTTAAAACTATTCGATACACATGCACCACTTAAGCGAGTCAGGGTTAAACACTTTCCAGCCCCCTGGCTTTCAGAGTCTATAAAAGCAGTAATGGCCAAAAGAGATAAAGCTAAGAGGCGTTATAAGAAGCACACTACTAATGATAATTTATTCACATATAAAAAACTGCGTAATCGCTGTAGTAAGATGTGTCGTGATGCTAAGAGGAGACATATTTATGATGAGGTTGAAAATTCTCATTCCGCTCAGATGTGGAAATTTTTTAGAACCCTGGGTATAGGCAAATCATATATTGATTCTAATATCTCGTTTGATTTGACTGCACTCAACCGGCACTTTTCTGAGCCTCCGATTTCTATTGATGACTCTATTAAGTCTACTACACTTAATCTTCTCTCCAATATTCCTAAACCGCTGTGTCCTCCTTTAAATTTCAGTAAAGTTACTGATGTTGACATAAAAAATGCCTTTTATCTATTTCCACTAAAGCTATTGGCTATGACAATCTTTGTATGCAAATGATTAAACCTATCACTAATGAACTTGTCCCTATTATCACTCACATTATCTCTTCTTCGCTTGAGACGAGCTCCTTTCCGACTTGCTGGAAAAAAGCATTCGTCATTCCCCTTCCAAAAACTTCTAATCCTACATCTTTATCCCAATTCCGCCCTATTTCCATTCTTCCGATCTTATCTAAAGTACTAGAAAATATAGTTCAGAGGCAACTATCTCAATTCCTAACTGTTCACAGCCTGCTGAGTCCTTTTCAATCTGGTTTTCGTCCAGGCCATAGCACAGTCAGCGCTCTGATTAAAGTGTCTGATGATATTCGCTGGGCCATGGACAAAAGACTTCTCACTGTTCTAACATTATTGGATATCAGCAGTGCATTTAATTCCGTTGATTATGACATACTTCTTGGTATTCTTCCGTCCTTAAACATTTCACCATCAGTAATCTCTTGGTTTAATTCTTACCTTAGGGGTCGCTCGCAGTGTGTCCGCCATGAGGAGGATTTCTCCGAGTGGTGTGATATTACGGCGGGTGTTCCTCAGGGTGGTGTTCTTTCCCCACTTCTCTTCTCTATTTTTATCAATGCTCTCACTACTGTTCTCTCCTCTCATTATCATCTCTATGCTGATGACTTGCAATTATACCGTCATTTCAAAGTCCAAGATATAGATGAGGCTATTAATAAGCTGAATGCTGACTTAAGTAGCATAAGCAGTTGGGCAAAATCGTTTGGTCTTCTTGTTAACCCTGCTAAATCACAACTAATGATTATCGGCAGCTCATATATGGTTAATTTATTAGATCGTTCGTAGATCCCTGCAGTAACGTATGATAATACTCAAATTCCATATACAGAGACCGCTAAGAACTTAGGTGTTATTTTTGATAATATTTTGTCTTGGGTCGCTCACATTAATATGATTAGCAGAAAAGTGAACTACTCTTTTCAATCTCTCAAGCGTCTCCAGATGTTTTTACCGTTAAAAACTAAGATAACCTTAGCTCAAGCACTTCTTCTTCCTCTCATTGACTACGCTGATGTTAGTTTTTTGGATGCTTCAGAGGAGCTGTTGAACAAACTGGAACGTGTTCAAAATTTGTGTATACGTTTTATTTTCGGTCTTCGTAAGTTTGATCATGTTTCAACCCTCAGTACAGGGCTCAATTAAAATGGCTTCCTATCCGTAGACGTCGAGACTTACATGTGTTATCATTTCTATACTTTCTACTCTTTAATCCTCTTGCACCTCCATATCTCCGCGAGCATTTTGAGTATCTTGTACCTCGTGAAACTCAGTGCCGGACCACTAAACAACTACTTCTCAAAACTCCTTTTCATTTCACAAGCCGTTGTGGTGGATCCTTTACTGTAAGGGCGGTCAAGCTATGGAACTCACTTCCACATGACATACGTGCTAGCTCTTCTCTTGATATATTTCGGAGCAGAGTAAAGAAATATTATCTGTCAACTTAGAATTATAAATATTTACATATTTTATGTATTTATATGTATAATTGTATATGTATGTATATGTATATGTATATATATATATATATATATATATGTATATATATATATGTATATATATATGTGTGTGTGTGTATATGTGTATATATGTTTATATTTATTATTTTTATTGGTATATATGTATGTAAATTAATAGAAATAAGAATAAAAGAAATAAGAAAATAAATTATACTTATATGTTATACACTTATATGTTAATTGTTAACTGTAACTTATAGCCAATTTCTATTAAGTAGCGTTATGTTAATTATTAAGTACGCACGCTGCTACCTACTTGCTTTATATATACAACTATTTCTCTTTCCCAATAGGTTTGCTGGAAGAGAACTCTTATTAGGGTTAAGCTTGCCTTTGTACATTTATTTAAATATTTAATAATTGTTACCAACTTATTGTGTGTACAATAAAGAATAAATAAATAAATAAATAAATAAATGTATAACGAAACGGAAATAATTAAATCACCTAAAAAACCGGGTTTTTAGGTCTTTTGGTATGCATCAATAGTGTCAAAAATTTATACCTAAGGCTTGTCGAAAAAGAAAGAAAATAAAATATTTGCCCACCTATAAGTTGTCTCAAGATCAAATAGAGTTGTTATTCGGTAATATAAGAGCTCATGCTGGGTGTAACAACAACCCGACAGCGCGACATTTCATGGCTATTTATAAAAAACTAATAGTCAAACTAGAATTGAATAATTTCGAAAGTGGTAATTGCATGGCACTTGAAAATATTTCAATTTTGACTTGTTCTTCATCAGTGGAAAGAAATAAATAAATCTACTATATCACCAATGATTTAAGAAGAAATGGAAAATGAAGAATATATTAAAGAATTTGATAAAGTTTTGAAAACGGAAAATATCATGACAGTATTTAGTTTGGAAGTAGTAAGCTACATAGCAGGAAATGTGGTACATTTTTTACTGAACAAAATTGAATGCGAAACTTGCATTTCGGCTCTTTTGAATTACAGTGCTATTAAAGACAATTTTAAATTGATACGGTTGAAAGACAACGGTGGTGTTTTTTTTCCTAGCGCTGACGTAATTTTGATTTGTAAAAAAAATTAATCAATTCTTAAAACTTTTACTGTAGATGCTCAATTAGTCAAAAATTTTGAAAAGTTTAAATAGCAGATAACATCCAGAGCCTTACGTCATTTCATTGGCATTGAAGTATTCAGAGAAATCCGTTGGTCCCTGATCAAATTTTCATCAATTTGATCAGGGACCAACGGAAAACCATGTAATATTGTTAACAAAATGTATTATAGAGGGTATACAGATATTCGCCTTCACCATTTGATGAAAACCTCAGCACAAAAAGTATCAAAAAGACAACTTTTAAATAAATATTTGCATTTTACAGGACAATAAATAAATAAATATTTTGTTTTTTAAATGATGAAAATGTCTTAATTTTTTTCTATTTTACTGTATAAGTTTTACTCCTTGTAATTAATTATTTTTTCTACTTTACGTTTTTTTATAGCATTAGGCTTATTTCATTAAATTTACGTTTCATATTATATCATTATACTGTTTTATTTTATCACATATTTATTACCTACATTATTCCGTGTCGATATTTTATCGATAGTTTTTTGTCAAGCACTAGCGTATATGAGTTGAGTGTGTTAACTACCTGCAAGGAGTGAGAAAACTAGCGGCGGCAGTGGTACTGCAAGTAAATTGAAACAAAGGCATTTCTATTCCCAAAGAGTATAGTCTATTCCGCTATATTAGGTGTTCTGTGACTAACATACTTTCTACCAAAAGTACTCTGTGCTTTCTACATAATTATTTATCTATGGTTGGTGGGTTCTGTCTGTATACAAAATTACAATTTATAAATATTCTAAGACTCCAAAATTCTTTTTACTAACATCTAATCTAATTTCGAAATAAACCTTTACAGTGCTTAGAATTAAAATTAGAGCATTTTAAGCGTGTATTATAATAAGTGCATTGTTGATTTTATACCCAAATTAATGAAAAATACTTTACTACAAAGCCCTTCGAACAAGAACAAGTAAATCTTGTCGGTTTTATTTCGTACAGAAATAACTCTTATCAAGCTTTGAAAATGAAAAGGCAGAACGTGCGCACTTTGTCACTTGTAGTATGTACCTTCACTTACCTGTTGATTGGAGCTGCTGTATTTGACGCTTTGGAATCTGATACTGAGAGTAAACGATGGGAAATCTTATCAAGTATGTCTTTATTTTATTTTATATTCTTGTCGTCTGAAAGTAATGTACAAATCGGTATTGATTTAGTCGCATAAGGTTCCCCCTGTGTCCTGCTGTGCGAAAATGCAAGGAAAGGAACGGGTTACTACAACCCCAGATATTTGTGCTTTCAATATTTTTTTTTGTTTTATTCAGGACAACAAACAGTTGTAGTATAATAAAAATCAGAATTCAAATCTTACGTAAATAGATAAACTAATTACTCAACTAACACCGTTATTCACAAAATTACCGTACTAATTAAAGTTATAAGGCACAGAGAACACAAATATAAAATAAATTAACCAAAAAAAAAAACTAGAGGCAACAATGCATGCTTAGCCATAAACATTACACATGTATTATGTAGAAAAAATAAAACAATTTAGATCAACGCTATAAGATTATAAGATAATAGTAATAAAGATAAAAATAAAAATTACAAGTCATTTAATACAAGTTTTATAGCTTTTCTAAATTGAGGTAGGGACATGGTAAATAAGTCTACATCGGAGAAGGTGTTACTATACAGTTCCATTATACAATGCAAGGGTGCATGCTCGCCCACATTTGTTTTACACAGATTAAGGAAAAACAAACTATTCATATGAGTGTTTCATATTTTTTTCGAGCAACTTTGTACATAAAGGTATACACAATTGACAAATTGAGAGCAATCGAAAAAGTTACGACAAATATATCTTTGGTAAAAGGGATTCTAAACTTATGTGACATACTCCAATCAATTTTTGACGGTAAAGGTAACAGAAGAAAGTTATTTCAATTATTAATCAGATTACTAAACCTGGTTTGAGCAGGAAGCATCCAGCTTCACATATTTTTAACTATGAATATACTTAATAATACCCCCTTTTTGTTTTTGAGCCCAAGTATGTGGCTCACCGGGTGGTAAGTTTCAATCTAAGCACATGAACAACTGCAACTCCAGGGTAATTGCAGGTGTGTTGCCGGCCTTTTATAAAGGAGTAAGCTCATTTCTTGAAGGGTTCTTCAAATGTATGGAGTATATGGTGAACTCAGGACTTAATCAACAGCAATTGGATTCATCTAGTTGTAACCAGCTAAACTCCAATAGCTAGCTATACATAAAATATAATTATTTTCCCTGTCATGAGACCATATGAAAATTCTGTAAAGATTACAATGAATTATTTGTAATTGAAAAGAGAATTAATGATTTTAAGAGATACATGATATTACAAAGTTAACCATATTTAGGCATAAAATTTATAAATAAATACACATACATTTTAGAGTGGTCTAAATTACTACCATTATATTATTTTATTGCATTTTGTGCTTATTTTTATTCCCTTATTAGGGATTTAATGTACCATTTATTGATTTATTGACACTGCCTACATAATATGGAAAATCGATAATTGGCTAGCCTATAAGTTATAATTATTATTAACTGCTCAATCCCCTAGCTGTCTCATGAGACAGTGGCCATATTCCGTCAAATCCCTAGCGGTCTCATGAGACCGCACCCACCCACAGCAGCTATAACCCATAAAAACTTATATTTAAAGACTACTTTTCTATGAAGAAGTTTGGCATTATAGAATCAATATGAAATTATCTATCCTCTAGTTGAATAAAAATTCAGTTAGTGTATAAATATTAATTTATAATCTACATTCAAAGTGCGTCATTGTTGTACATTGTGAGTGTTTGTTGTTGTACATTGTTGCGTTGATTTTTGGATTTTTCTAAGTTTAGAAAAGTTTTTTATATTATAAAATTGTTATGAAAGTTTTTGTGTGAATATAATTTATCCTTTTACGTAAACAATTTTGAGTAATATATAGAAATAATAGTAATTTTCACTCTACCGACATCCGCTTGGTATTTAGTTATAAAAATACAATAAACTATTTTTGTAATGATTAATCCATTGAATAACTGACTTTTATTTAAACTATAGAATAGAGAATTTTATATAGATTATATAATGCCAAACTTCTTTGTAGAAAAGTAGTCTATAAATATAAGTTTTTATGGCATGCGTCTGTCGATTCCCGAGCGGTCGCGGTCGTCAAATACCGTAAAATGTCGCCATTTTCGTATGGTTGGCAAATGTCGTAAATTGACAGGAGAATAAAAATTAAATACATAGAGTAACTGAATTTTATTTAGACCACAGAATAGAGAATTTGGTATAGATTCTATAATGCCCAATTTCTTTATAGAAAAGTAGTTCATAAATGTAAGTTTTAATGGTGTAAACTCGGGATTTGACAGAAGCATGCGACTGCATCGAATTCTAAGAGGATTGAGGGGTTAAGCATTTGTATGGTACAAATGCTTAATCAGACAAAGTGCAGCAGTAACACACATCTTACAGTTGTATATAAGGTACTCTATGGTGGAATTGTTAATTTTAGTGTTTTGTTCTGTGAAAATATTTGTTATCAGAAGAAACTAATAGTATATTAGACATTATAAGTGTAAAAAAATGTTATAATTACAAAAACATTTATATATTGCTTGTAAATCTTAAAAGTTCACATTAATATTAATTTGAACTACCGGATAAAAAAGTCTCATTAGTTCTACAATTGTGCTAATCAGTTGAAATAGTGGGAAACCACCTGTGACCTCACACTGAACACAATTTATATTTTAATTCCACATTAAGAAAAAGTCTTTGTTTGGCCTACAAGATCCTAGTGTAGTACGGTATTTCATTTAAAAATCTTCATAAATTCATATTATTACTTTATTACCAATATATCTAATATATGTAAATTTACATAATATATTAATTACATCTAACTATTAGTTGTATATGTAATATTAATTATATCTAACGGTACAGATGGTTCGAAAATACGGACATAATTTTATGCTGAAAATGTATAACATATAGACAAAGTATTACCAAGTTTAAATATTTAATTAAACAAAAACTATATAAATAGGGTTATTATAATGTAAATGAATACATGGTTGTTAATAACCCCTAAATCCTTCTTCTTTTGCTCTTATTCTTTGCTTCCAAGCTGTTCTTAAAATAAATTTGGTAAAGTTAGTTTAGTTTATAAGTATTATTAATTTTGTAAATAGTTTGTAACAAATCATATAGTAAAATTTCTTTTTTTTTAATGTATTGCTAGGTTTTTTTGCTGTTTCTTACCGGGACAGAGGGAATATATATGTATTAAATTTTTTATATTTTATACCAGTAAGTAGCCTCAGTGTCACACAGGCTCCGATTGTTGGAGCTTGTGTTTCGCCTAATACAAACAAAGTTGTAGGTTAAGTCCTACAACTTTGTTCTTCACACATTTTCAGTGTAACATTGCATCCATATTTTTTTATAAAAGTTAAAAAGTAAAGTAAAGTTACAGCCTATATACGTCCCACTGCTGGGCACAGGCCTCCTCTCATTTCTGAGAGGGTTTTAGGGCAAGGAAGTGTCCGCCGCGCTGCCTCAATGCGTGTTGGCGAACTTCACATGTCTTTGAAAAATTTTTTTTCTTATTCCTCAGACATGCAGGTTTCGATGTTTTCCTTCACCGCCGATCCCGTGGTAAATCGGCACTTAAAATTGCAATTAACAATTTCATTGGTGCCTCCGGAGTTTGAACCCGGGTCACTCACATTCTGTTATATTTACAGCCAGCGTTAACCATCTGAGCTACCATTTATACATTCATACATATCAGTATATACAATACACAAATAATTCTTCCTGCTTTTTGTAAAATTTGTATTTTCTTGATTAAAATATCTTAAGAAATTATGAATTTTGCAACATTTTAGTTAAGATTAATGTATTTATTATTAATTAAATATGCAAAACCCTCGTTATTTAATTAATTACAGCTATGAAAAATGGCTTGGTATGTAAATACAACATAACTCCAGAGGATTATCACATGATAGAAATAGTGATAATAGAGAATAAACCCCATAAAGCAGGTCCTCAATGGAAGTTTGCTGGAGCCTTCTATTTTGCTACTGTAGTACTGGCAATGATTGGGTATGGGCATTCAACACCTGTAACTGTTGGTGGGAAAGCATTTTGTATGGCATATGCAATGGTATGTATTTTTTGCACATAACACTATTCACTTTGTATTGTTTAGCCTGAATACAGTGAAAGTAAAATATTAAATGTTTTGATAATTCGATAACGATTTATTATTGAAATAGTTTAGATGCTGCTCGTACTTATGTGAGTATGACCGCAGATTTAAATGCCAAGTGTGTCATTTAATATATTGATATTCAAAATTTCTATTATGTAATGGCTAAGTTTGGCTTCAGATTTGCGGGTTTAATTCACGCAAAGAAGCGTTTGCATAACCTACAAATAATTTTTAATTTATTTATATATATATATATATATATATATATATATATATATATATATATATATATATATACAATATTGTTCAGTTTAGATTATCAGGAACTTATAACTCCGATTAATTTTTGAATATTATATAATATATATATTCAATCAAATCAATATCCTCTAGACCGAATTCCGGCCACGGCGGACTGCCTCAACGGAGACTAGCAGGTCAGGATTATAGTGCCCAAGTGTATACGCAAGCACAGGTGCACTCTATTCCCTTACTCTCATAATCCAATGGGACAGTAAACCGACACGACCGGAGAGAGATCAGGCGCAGGACCAACGGCTTTACGTGCTCTCCGAGGCACGGGGGTGAGACACCGCCAACTTCCTGACCCGGATCCGGGCAACTACTGAAAATTTCTTGACGGAAAAACTCCAATATTTAATTTTTTGCCCCGACCCGGGATTCGAACCCAGGACCTCATGATCAGCAGTCGCACTACTACAACCACTAGACCAATATATTAAATAAATAAACATGAGAGCTAATAATCTTACGCTTATCAGATGTTGCTAGTTGGAATTTAGGTGTATTTTATTTTTGTTACACTGATTAGGTCACACTGTGTAGTCATCATTGAAATTATGCATTTGAAATAAAAGCTTTTTGGTTTCTAATGTATACCCGTACACAAAACAATGTTCTTGTTTTTGTAATAAGCTCAAGTGGCTTCCTATCCGTCTTCGCTGGAATGGTCATATTCTGTCACTTCTTTACGATGTTCTCTTTAATCCTTCCTATTCTTCTTATCTTAAGGATCGTTTTGAATTCCTTCACTATTCCCATTCGAAAGTTTTGAGATCATCAGAGAATTTTACATTAAAAATGCCTGCCCATAATAGCAAATTTATGGACAGGTCGTTTAGTATCCAAGCAGTCCGTCTATGGAATGCCCTACCTCTGTCAGTGAGACGCGCCCTGTCTTTACCTGTTTTTCAGAAACTTGTACACAGTCACTATCTTAATCGTTGAGTTCGTGCCATCTATATATGTAGTATACATTCGTATTTTTTTTGTATTTATTTGTTGTTTATTTCAAATTATATTATATAAAATATGGATATATTTATAAATATTGTTTCTGCATCACCAAACCACACAATTTACTACTTTTTGCGATCCTATCCATCCAAAGGTTGTCTGGAAGAAATCGCTTTTAGCGATAAGACCGCCCATTGTGACACTATATTATTTTCTTCTACTTTCGTTTATGTATTGATTTGGTGTACAATAAAGAATTATCTATCTATCTATCTAATGTTTCAGTGCTGTTTTTTTTTAATTTCTTACTCAATTTATACTTTTTTTTAATTACTCTACTTTTAGGAATATTATTAGTTTGGTTTATACTAATATTTCAGAAAGAAATAATAATCTCTACACTTTCTAACAAATTACCTTCCCATGCGATGAAATCTGTCAAATATTTCACCTTCCTAAGTGGCGCCTTCCTGGTGGCAAAATGAATAAATATTATATGTGCTACAGCCTGGTTGTAGTTATGGCAATGAAGGAAGAGGGGAGATCTCCCGCCGGGCAAGGTGTTCTGCCCGGGAGCGGCCAACGCTCCATGTGATAGTTCGGAGCTGTTCTATATATACTGTTTATGATTCGGAACTTTGATAGTGCGATTTAGGCTTCGGTGTGTTTCGCTTGTGGCGCGACGACAGCGCCGTCACATCACCCTCCTGCTCAGACCGGAGGTCGATAGTGCGGTCCGATTGCTGGCGTGTCCTTAATGCCGGTGGGGAATACATGCTGTGTGCGTAAGGGCAAGTGACCCCGATGCGAATGATATGCCGATGTGTAATGCATGCCGTACTACGCACTGGCAAGTGATGCCGGTGAGAACGATGTGCCGGAGCAAGTGCCAGAAGTATGTCTTATAAATCTGCGGGGAGTCGAGATGGAGACAAGTTGGACTGATTTGCAGGAACTGAAGACTGCAGAAGACGATTCTCAGTAGTGAATAGTTAGGGTTCTTGAGGATAATGACGAAGTCTTGAAGTTGTGTCTTGAAGTGAAGGTTGTTGGTTGCGTGTTCAGATCACGTCGGGTGATCACCACTGTGGCCGTAGAAGTAAAAGGGGATATATCCCGCCGGGCAAGTTGTTCTGCTCGGGAAGCGGCCAACGCTCCGTGTGATAGTTCAGAGCTGTTCTATTATACTGTTTATTATTCGGAACTTTGATAGCGCGATTTAGGCTTCAGTGTGTTTCGCTTGTGGCGCGACGACTACGCCGCCACATAGTCATATTACACTCGTAGCACAAATGGTTTGGCTTGACCGGGGTGGGACCACGCTCGCACAGAATACCAGCGTAAAATAGCAGCTTAATGCTATTGCATTTCATATGGTGAGTGTAGAGAACGGAAACTTTTTAATGGAAAGAGGTATTCTATCATAGTCCTCTGGGGTGAAAACGTGTCTGCGTTTTGGTTCTTAATCGAGGATAAATGTAATCTATGGGCCACAACATCCACTTACCATAAGCTGAACTGTGTGTTTATTTATCACCTTAATTCTATTAAAAAAAAAAAGATAATTCCTGATTTAATACTAGTACCCGGTTGACCGAGCTTTGCTCGGGATTTTTCGCTCGGTTTTTTTTTTAATTCGTGTGTTTTGGAAATTATTATATTTAGATACAAATTACATACTGATGAAATACGAATAATATTTTTTGATCTTAGCGACATAATAGAAAAAACTGAACTGGTTATTTGAATAAAAAATCATGAGTGCAATTAGTTTAATTTAAATATTCTTGTTTTTAAAATATACTAAAAAAAGGGCTCGAAAAAATAGATTTTCTCAAAAAAGAAAGGAACTTGAAAAAAAAAAATTAAAAAAGTCGTCCGTCGGTCTGGGCTCGAACCATGGTATTACGATTTTGTGACCGCCCAATACACCAATTATGCTACTTGTAATCATTAATAATCTGTCAAAATTTACTTTCTTATTCTAACGATATTGTAGCAGTTTTTCATTGCCTAAAAACACGGACAAAAAGACATTTTCTAAAAATAAATCCTAGCTAGATCGAGTTATTGCCTCCGAAACACCCTACACACAAAATTTTATAAAAATCGTTGGAGCCGTTTCCGGGATTCCGTCCGTTTCCGATATATATATATATATATATATATATATATATATATATATATATATATATATATATATATATATATATATACATACATATATACAAGAATTGCTCGTTTAAAGGTATATGTTCGCGACCGCCTAACAACTTTAAGAAACGAAGTGATAAAGAATATTGTTTTATGTATTAATAGTGAAATTACCAAGAAAACTGAGTGAAAACGTGTATTAATATAGTTATTTAGCATATTTATAACTCTCAATATGTTTGTATAGAATGTCGTTTTGATAACAAGTAATATAAACAACTTTTATTATATACCAAAAAATCGACCAATCACAGCGCGTCTTATCGTAGAACTCTCTAGAAGTTTTTTAATTAACTGCGTAATAGATCATACTAAAAATAATGAAAATAATTTTATGTCCTAAAAGTGTTATAAATATGACATTAAATTAGCATATGGCTTATAGATGAAAGAAGTATAGGAATATTTTTGTATAATTAAACGCCTTTCGTAGTTATAGAAAAATTAAAGAATTAAAATGCCCAAATATTATGAAAATTTGGGACATTTCGTTTAATAACTTTTTACAATGTTAATGTTTTTAGTAACCTTTATGATATACTAATAAAGTACCAGACTACCGATTTAATGATGTATAGCATGTTAGTGTAGCAATTAGTTTTCTATAGAAAATATTGCAATTTATGCCATTTGTATAGTGAAAAGTTTATGCAATAAAGAGGCAAACGGAAAATGGCAAGCGGCTCACTGCAAAGTATTGCTCAAGTCTACCTTAGGGGCTCGGGACCCAGTATCCGTAGTAGTGTGAAGAACTACCAGTGACAAGTGAAGTGAAGTGAGTGGTATCCGGTGGTAGCTGAAGTGACTAGTAGCAGTATATAGTGAATAGTGAAAGTGTTAGCTAGCCTAAAAAAGGTCGTAACTGACATTCGCAGTTACACATAGTGAAAGTGTTAGCTAGCCGAAAAAGGTCGTAACTGACATTCGCAGTTACATAGTGAAAGTGTTACCTAGCCTAAAAAGGTCGTAACTGACATTCGCAGTTACATAGTGAAAGTGTTACCTAGCCTAAAAAGGTCGTAACTGACATTCGCAGTTACACATAGTGAAAGTGTTACCTAGCCTAAAAAGGTCGTAACTGATATTCGCAGTTACATATAGTGAAAGTGTTAGCTAGCCGAAAAAGGTCGTAACTGACATTCGCAGTTACACATAGTGAAAGTGTTAGCTAGCCGAAAAAGGTCGTAACTGACATTCGCAGTTACATAGTGAAAGTGTTACCTAGCCTAAAAAGGTCGTAACTGACATTCGCAGTTACAAATAGTGAAAGTGTTACCTAGCCTAAAAAGGTCGTAACTGATATTCGCAGTTACATATAGTGAAAGTGTTAGCTAGCCGAAAAAGGTCGTAACTGATATTCGCAGTTACATATAGTGAAAGTGGTAACTGATATTCGCAGTTACACAAGTGATAAAATCAACTAGTTTAGTTGATAATAGCTGCTAGTCAGTAGTGTTAGAAAACCAGCTACTACCAATAGA